AAAAAAAAATAAGGACACACCTTAGGGAATGATATCACTACGCCACCATTTTGTTCTTGAATTTCTCGTAGAACAGCAGCTCCTCGCATGACAAAGTGTCTGTGGTGCTTAGTGTCAACATCGATCTATAAAAGTACTTCGAAGCATCGGTCGTACTAGAATAAAAAACATAGCGGAAAGTATCAATTCCTAACCGTGGCCTCGACTGTCTCATTGAGCTGCCTGATATTCTCTTCCAACTCCTTCTTCACCTTCAGTACATCTTCCTTTTTACCTAGCAAGTGAATAGTCTCCTTATCAGCATCAGTCTCCCTTGGGAACATGACCCGTACATCAAAGTGTTCACGCATCTTAAACACAAAAACTAGACAAAGTGAATGAAACAAGACCAAGTAACAGACTCAAAGAAAACTTACTTTATTGATCTTCGAGCCGCCTTTTCCAATCAAAAAGCGATGGAACTCCGGCTTGGCAATAACTGTGTCTTCGTGCAAGTTGACTTCTTTGTCTTTTGCCAAATTCTTGAGAAGTTTCTGAGCTTTTTCTACATCATCCTTTGGACCTCGAATCGTTACCTAGAGAACAAAAACTGGTTGATGAAAGGCAGTTCACGGATTAATTAATGTAGGCTCCAGAAAACATAGCAATCAAAGAAGAACGCTCAAGAACAATGGTAATATTTTACTTTAGTGCTCTCGCTCTTTTCCGCAGGGAATCTGATGTGAACGCCTCCACATTCTTCTTCGATATCGGAAATGAGGCGACGGCCATTACCAAGAAGGCGAGCCTGCACTTTGACTGGAATATCCACTTCGACCGTTTCAATGTTTGCCTGAAAAAGATAACGCAAAAACATAAGAAAGCTGGAATAATTCGAAAAACAAACTCACGAGCTCGTTTTGGATTTTATTTAACTGATCAATAGCCTTTTCCACATTTGCTTTCTTTCCGGTGACAGTAATGCGCTCCTCACCAGAATCACCCTATAAATGGTTACTAACTTCAAAGCAAGCACTTGAGGTCGAATCGCAAAAAAGGATTGCTCATGCTATACTGAAATCATGCAGTAAGAAAAACGAAGAATCTGAAAGGCGTGGTTGTCCATTGACTTTGCGGCGTTTGTAAACTAGCTATTTCCTTATTTTTATCATGTTCATTGCCACATTTGCGACACTACACCTTCATGCAGCACAAACCGAAAACTGTAGGGGAAGCAGTGACATACCTCAGGCAGATCAATCCGAGTTTGGGTTTCTTCGCGGATTTTTCTGATAGTAGCTCCTCCTTTGCCTATGATATGCTTATGGAACTCCTTGAATATAGGTACCGTTTGTTGATAGTTGCTTTCGATCTGGAACAAAAGCGTTTTCTCGGCCCATCATTTCACAGCTGAACAGATAATATTCATATAACGAACCAATTCTTTTGCGATCGACTGCAGTTGCTTGTAAACTTTATCAACTTCGGTCTTATCTCCGCGAATATTGATAACATCGGACTTCTTGTTGACATCAGGGAACGAAAGAACCTACAAGAAAGTGAGAGAGCATGATTCTTCAGTGTGTATATAAATCATCGAAGATTAAAGACATGATAACTTCAGACTCACAACGTTGGGATGAGCTTCTCGGATCTTCCCGATATTCTCGCCTTTCGTTCCGATAATTAACTTGTGTAGTCGTTGTTCAATAATAATATCCCTCGATTTCTCGTTTTCCTGTAATTGCCAAAGTAAATTAATAAACTTAACACTGAACTGACAGTTGCTAATGCGGACCCCATAGAAACATAAACGAAGTCCATCCGAACGGTCTACAAATCGAAAAAAATCCATTCTTCCCTCATCACTGACGACACATTTAAAGCAGTGGGAGTCGCCTCCATCGTTTCAATTTCCCTCTCTATGAGCGGAAAGGCTTCACTTTAATGATATTCGACAAATTGATCGCTAAGCTATCGTAATAGGTGATTTCGGAAATGCATCCTAACCTGCTCAAGGGTGATGATGGATATCTCACCTCAGCTGAAGCTAAGGATGATTGTCAGTAATCCGTGAGAATACGGATTTCTGTAGCAGTACGTGAAATTTTCTCGAAGATAGCTACAAAGAAGGCTCCGCATGTTTAAGATGAACGGCCCAGAGCAGGGCCGATCAGTAACCAAGACTGCTTCTCCTGCAGGATCTTTAGGACACTTGATCTGTATTGCAGTACCCTCACTTGGACTACACCCTATCACAAGCACACAGCAAGTCCCATATATTGCGAAAACGCTTCGCCCACCATAGTAGACATAGCAGTCATCCGTTTGAGGGTTTCACTTCCAATGCGGCTTGTATTTCTCTTCACGCTCTCAAAATCCCAAAGCTACCCCGGCGTCCAACTTCATGCAACGCCAAAGAATGTAGTGGACAGGCAAACAGGTGACAGAGAGACAAACTTTTAGATCGAACATATTGATGTGAAAAGGTTCGGATACAAATATTTGAATACCTGGCACTGAAGGAAAACGAATAGGATTGAGGTATAAAAGATTGTTCACTCACAATTTTCGAAACTATTGCGCGAATTTCTTCTACAGCTTTCTTCACGCCTTCCTTCTTGCCCTCCACGACAATTTCGTCAGAGTTAGTCTGCTCGTTGGGAATAGAAATCTGCACACCTGTTTCGTCCTTGATCTTCGAAACTGTAAAGAGCAGGTGAAACAGCGTAAACTAAAGAGTGTGAATGTGACTACATGATGCAACTCACTCAGAGCACCGCCTCTTCCAATAACATGTCTATGCAAACTTGGGTGCACCTTCACTTTTTCGATAGACATCTCAGCTTCAAGACGTGCAACCTCCGTTGAAAGAATGGTGAACGCAGCCTAAATCAAATTTTTTGTTCTCACAACTTCAAAAGATTTCCAAAAAGGATCAAGGTTATGAAGCCATTATTGCTCTATAATCTGAACAAGATAAACGCACCTTGACTTCTTCAGGAGCTCCCTCAAGGAAGATGTTGCCGGTATCTTCGAAATCGATTTGAACTTTCCCACGGTTAGGGATCAAATTCTAAATAACTGTTGAGATCAATTCTGATAACTCGGAAAAGTAGAAAAAGTTCAATATTGTTCGATTGAGAACAAAATGCTTTAGCATATGAAAAAAATACTATCCAAAGCCGCACTAGAATTCTTGACTCATTCTCAAAGTTAATAATGGAGACAGTTTCCGGGTATTCCCGTTGGCACATGATAACTTGGTCAAGCTACTTTGAGAAAACTATCGAAATTAAAAGGGTTTCTGAATGGGCGTTGCCAGTGAATGTCAGTAAAAAATCAAATCTCAATAAAGATTTCAAAAGCCCACACACCTGAAGAGTTGATCCTTTTGGACCGATGAGATGTTTGTGAAGCCAAGTAGGTGCTGGCAGCTGTTGTGTGATGACAGAACTCGCTCTTTGGTAAACAAGCGCTAGGGCCTCACCGAGCTTACTGGGGTCTCCCCTCAGAGTGATTGTGTCGGAGTTCTCATCCTCGTTGGGGACCTGAATGAATTCACTCATTAAGACGCACCATTTCCTGTTTGCGAATGAACAGGACATGGAAATAGTTGCTGATTCTTGACTTTTATCCTATCTATACCTCGACAGAGACTCCAGTTTCTTTGAGAATAGTGTGAAGGCCACATCGCTGCTGCCCTACGATAAAACGGTGTTGAGCGCGCGCAACGGTGCACGTCACAGACTTCACTGTGGCTTGCTAAAATGGTTACTTCATGATCACACAGTCTTAGTGTAGTCGGGAACGAAGGATAAAATTCTGAAAATCTCTAACCTTGTCTGCGACAATGCCGCGGATAACTGCGGCCGCTTTATGTACGCCTTCTTTCTCTCCAGTAATTACAATCACCTGAAAGCGTCGTTGGATTTAGCAATTACAATATAGCGTGGTATAAACGAACCTCATTGCTGGCTTGACTTGGTGGGATGTTGATCTTGGCCCCTGTTTCTTGTGTAAGGCTATCATAGGTTTCATTGAATGGTCCACGAACGAACGGGTAGAAGATGCGAGGGCACAGAATGTGCTCAGTCGCCAATTTTGACTAGAACAGCACGTTGAGCAGGTGAATTGAGAAGCGGTAACAATGCAAACAATGTCATCAATGTCATGCAGTCCTCGGAGCGCCTTTACACTGGCTTACCAAAACCCACGTTTACCCCATCTCCTTGAGTCCGATCAGTCATTCCGTAATTGATTTTAACAGACATAACATAACATAATCCCCGGCCAATCTCCCACATTTCGGTAGTAAGCACTCCGATACTTATATATTCAGGACTGCCCTATGCCTCTCAAATTCGTGAAGCACCAAAGTGAGACTGTATTCAATTTCACACATTATCGCCACTGCACCGTAACGACATTACGACATTCTGTGATTAAACGCGAATACGAACCTCTCTGTCGGAAACAGACTTGATATAGGCAACCGCCTTCTCGATGCCTTCACGAGGTCCGACGATTTTTATAGTCTGCGACGGTGTATCCCTGCTAGGAATAGTGATACGACAATTTGTGTCAGCTTCTAGTTGCCGCAGAGCAGCTCCTTCTTTGCCTAAAACGACGTCAAGTGAGATCCTTTACAGCGAGCACTTCAGAAAACCTCATTTTCGAATATCGTTGTATAAATACGAGAACGACCGAACCTATAAGTTTCCTATGATGATCTTTTGGAATGTCCAAATCGCGGCTAGCTTGTGTCTGCAAGTCACGAACAAGTCTGGCTCGCGCATCTTCTACCTTATTACGTAGGCCTTTGATCACAACAGTCAAAGCGCCATCCTTTGACTCGCTCAACTCAATTCGAGTACCTGTTAAACAAAGCAAGCTTGAATCACCTCCACAAAAAAAAAACTAGTAGTCATCACTACATGGCACGGAATGTAATGAAGGGCTACGTAAATACCTGTGGCGGCAGCAACCGCTTGGCACTTCTTATGTTCTTCGCTTGTGTTTCCTCCGAAAGTCTTCACCTTATTAGCACGTTCGTCAGCAGCCAGAATAAAAGACTGGAAAAAAAGGGAATTCATATCTGCGGCTCTGACATTGAATTCAACATTCATTCACAGTCTCAGAAGGCCTTTGAAGGGGGAAAACCTCCAGATATAGGGATTTATTAAGTAACGAATAAGTATTTTCTTTCATTCTTCTTCACATTCTTTCGGCACGACATACGGTCATTCTTAAAAGACCCTATATCATGCCATATAAATGCGCTTTGACTAGGGAATAGTTATGATTCATTTTGAATCACACGTTTGCGAAGCGGCACGTCGGGAACAAGAATTTTAGTAAAACCGGCAAATAACTCGTTCTCCACCTTCCATTAAAGAAACCGACAAGTGATGTTTGGTTCACTTAGTCACGACCTTTTTTGAACAACCCAGAACTGACTATTTTCCGAGATGTATCGATAGTGCACACCATCGCCGGACGGTCGTTTCCGTAGAAGAATCTTCTACCTACACCACACAAATATCGTGAGCAGCCGTAAGGCGTTAGAACCATGAACGAACGCAAAACGAGTGGAATGATGACCCTTCTGTTACTATGTGCATGAAGTATTGAAAAGGAAACTGGAATAAATGGGAAAATATCGCTATTATAGTAGAAATTATGGGGGTTATGCTTTCAATGAACGCATGAAGTGGTGTCGAACTGCAAAAATCTACAGAAAGCAAGAATCTGATCTAGAAAGTTGCGTGATTAGTGACAACCCTTTGAGCCTGATGGAAAACCAGTCTCAAAAAAACGGCATGGCTTGCAGGACAACCCAACAGCGAAATCAATAAGAGATCGTGATTGAGTAAGCAGTAAATCACTTATTGTGCTAAAGATCCAAGTCATAAACCGGTTTGCAAGCCTGCAACTCAACAGACACCATGACTTCTCTTGTAGTGAAACATATCATTTTGTTGTGCGTAAAAGCACCTTTCATATGGTACATAAAATTACCTGGAAGCACAGAAACTGTAGGAAAAGTTGCACTTGAAAAAAGACTCATGCCTAATAAAATAACAATAGTATGTTTATAGACTTACGTGAACAATAGTCTTTGTTCCTACAGCAGGTCTCGACCATGCTCCTAAAGGTTTGGTAGCAGCTGGAGCAGCTTCAGGCAGTTTAGGGAAGTCCGTGGAATAGTCCATCTGCACGACATCTGGGACAGGAGCCGATGCTGCCGAAGTTTCTCCATCTGGAAACAACCAAAATCTGCTCAGAACAAATTGAGAAACCATTCAAACAAAGATTATCCGATTGTAACGACAAGAAACGCATTTCGACTCCCACATTTTCATATTGCTTTCGTAAGGCGTTTGACTCAGGTCATATTTACTAACCAAGTAACGGCAATTATCTGTGCTCTGTATTTCGTACAGGGATGTTAAACCAAGTGTTAGAGCAATAACCGAAGCGAGCCTTCTTAGATAAGGACAACGAAATATATTGTAGCTCTTTCACACAGCGGGAAGGATAAATGGTTCCCCTATATATTAGACAACCATTAATTTTTCGCCTTTATCAGGCATTATTTCAGAAGATTGAAGGAAACAGATTGCATTTGGACTTTCAGGCTATTTTTCCACAGAGTAGACGTTCAAGGATAGCTTTGCTTCTTTTGTTCAGCTATGACTTCACCTATTTCAAACATTTCTACTGGGTAAATACCGAAGATACTTCCGAGATATTAATCAAGAACTCTAATTGTAAATTCTCATTCGAAAGTAATTCTCAGGAAAGACTCTGGTGCTGACCATTACCATAATTTATTTAGAAAATCGCTCGCTACAGCAAGAGACCATTCTTTCCAAATTGAACAAATAGAGCTCCCTTTGTTAGACTGTCATCATAGGAATGACTGCGTCATCGCCAGAAAAAAAAACACCCAGAACAACCTCAAACGTTATTATTCAATATTTGGCCTCGCCAATCAAGTATTCTGGGGTCACGTTTACACACCGAATGGGAATCAATAGCTCAGTAGGCACGAACAACTGGGTCCATTTAGTAGGGAATGCGAACTAATTTCAACACTTTTTAATACCTCCTTTAGAGCCACAAGACTGTCTACTACTCTACGGCAACGGTTTCATGAATTTCAACTCTGGGCACCCTGGTGAACATTTCAACGAAGGTTAATACTCACGTTGAGCAGTTCCATTGGTAGGGTGTCCGTTCTGTTCAAACTCGTGTCCGTTGTGCATTGCTCGTAAATGAATAGATGGGCTGTTCCGGGCCGGTTCCGTAAGACAGAAAGCAGCAGAGGGTCAGATCGAGCCGAAGGGACCTGAAACGAATACGAAACGTGTCGTAAGACAGGCAGTGAGAACGATATAACCGAACAGACATCAAGCGATAGTATCGATTGCCATAAAACCGATTGGCATGGAACATCAGGGTTGTAACAGGTGGGAAGCAATTTCGTTGAATGTGACTGATTGAGAATAATATACTTCAAGAACGAGTACGTCAAACTATAGATGAGAATCGGGACAACTGCAGGTCGTTCGGATCGGGCAATCGACAATCAGTTCTTGTTTACCTAAAGGATGGGTAACACAAGTGAGGAAGAGGAATGTAGAGGTCGACATTAGACGATCAGATTGATGAAATTGTATTACACCGAAACGAAGATAGCATCATTGAACCAGCCTGTCATCAGAGATTCTGGTGGCACAGTGATTCAGGAGGAGCTTCGGTGGTGGGACAGTGGAGAAATGGGGATGGTGGGGGTGAGCACGAGATAGCACAGCCGATGAAGAGAGAGTGACGCGTGGCACACTGCAAATGAAAAGACCAACGATCACTTCTGAAGCGTCACAACCAGCCGAAGAAGCAATCTTCTGACTTCCGTAGGTTTCATTAACACTAGGGAATCGTTACTGAGGGAATACCACCCAATTTCCCCGAAGCACCAACTCAAAACGTGAAATAGTGCTAGGAAAAGATTCAAGGAATGATACAGCTGGCATGTCCGGTTATTTCGTAATTATTACACACCAATATACCACTTTCAAAAGCTCATGGCCACGTAAAAGAGCATAAGAAGCTGTACGGAGTGTACGAAATCAAAAAGAATGTCACTTTACTGCAGCACTGAAAAAAAGAAGTACTGACGTCGATAGGGAACAGTACAGGTACACCGCTACTAACTGTGAAGACAATAAATAAGTATAACAGAAAAAAACAATTAGGAGATCGTCGCATAGCTATTCGGGTGGTTTAAGACGTCGGACGGTGGGTGGTTAGCGGCGGGCATTCGGGACGGACGTGATGCGATCAGCCAAACGCTCAAGGTCACCGCCGTCCACTGGGGGGTCATCGTTGATCGTAAACGCTCCCGACAACTGACATTATCCAAACTCTTAAATACGGGAATAAGGTAGTAGTAAAGGGAAATTGAACAATCCGGGAGCAGATCCTCTTCGTAGGCAAGAATATTAATAGTTTCCTTTGTATGATCATAAATGAGACCGCTAACAGATGTATCATCGGAAATATGTTATTCCTACTCTCGTTTATATCATTTTTACATTTATGCATAAACATGGGAACCATTTGGGAGTTACATATTCCAAAAACCCCTAAAACGACGCATCAATAAATCGATCAGGCAATACAAGTGGGTGTGGGCGCGGTGCTTGCGCAGTGTCCACCCACCCACACTGATAGTGTCCGTGACTGTTAGATCAGGTCTTTCTATCATCATTATATGATTCCAATCTAACAATCAGCAAGGTGAGGGAAAGGAAAGGTACAGAAGCTCATCAACGGCCTTTTGTTACTTAACATTGGTGTCTGCATTCATTTATTTACTGCATACAAATAAACAATCGAAAAATATGACATTTTTCCAAAAAATATGACATTTTACACTTTACTGGTTTTATCCCTAGATCCTCGCAAACTTGCGACCGTTGATTTTTGAAAATGTTTTTCACCTAATGGTTCACGATAATTTTGGGTTATCCTTTTGAAGTCAAAAGCGGAAGTATTGGTCGGGGATAATGCATCGGTGGTGAAGGAAGCAAGTTAATTCGCCGGTTTTATGAAAAATGAGGCTCCATAAAAGCAGTGAAAATTGACGTTGTACGAGATTACCGTGACGGAAATGACATTAAAGGGGTATTTGGACGAGTTTTCGGTTGTTGCAATTGCGCATAGAGCGCTGACTACAGCAAGACGAAGATGCACAGAATTGCCTTTCAACAGTGGCTATGGGTCATGATTATTTGATGATTAAGAAACGCTGCATGGGATTGTCCTGAATTTTGTCCGGATTACAAACTGTTTACTGATTGGATTTTTGAGGCCACATCAGTAACTTTATTTTGTAATTTACTCATTTTTGGGTTGAACCTACCGACTTAATCCTTCCTTAATAGCAAATTTATTGGTAGAGTGCCCGGCTCGAAGCTTCAGCTGGGCGTCAAGCTCAGGGAGGGAAAGCATTTCATCAGAAATGGTAACAGTCGGGGAGCTCAACGCCATCGGATTGGAGATGTTACAGGAAGTGAACCC